TTTCCTGTTTTTTCTTCTTCGACAAGAGGTCATTAAGGTATATTACAAATCGGGAACACGCAAATAATCCATATATCACAGTGATTAATAATATATGATAATCTTCCCTCCTTCCCTTTCCCATATTTCCTCACCCTCCCCTTCTTTCCCTCCTCCCCCACCCATTCTCCTCCCCTTCCCCTTCTTCCCCTCCTCCGCCACCCATTCCTCCATCCCCCCCCCACCCCCTCGGCCTCAAACACGTCCTCCGCCTCCGTCACGGGGCCTTCCAGACGCGGCGCAGACAATGCCCCAAATCGCGAGACAATAGGCCTATAACAAGGAGCCGCAGCATCACCGGACATCAGAAGCTCCTCATCTCCCGCTCGCAGAGACAATCCCCGCACTGATGCTGCCCCGCGGGACGCCCATTCGTCAGGCCGTCTGCCGCGTCTGCTGTCTGGGCGGCGGTTGTAAGAAATGGGCGGACGGCGGGAGGAGGGAAGGGGGGGGTAGGAGGGAAGGAGAAACGCAGGGTGAGGAGAAGAGGAGAAGAGGAGAGGGAGAGAGAGGTGAGGAGAGGAGAGGAGAGAGAGAGCATAATGAGCAAAAATAGCAATGATGTTACAGAAAATGACGCAATAAGAAACACGAGAATGAAAAACAAAAAGATATATCAAAACAGGTTAGAGAAGATTAATCCATTTCTTACCCAACTTCAACTTCACCCTCAGGGTATAGGATAAAAGGTGGAGAGAGAGAGAGAGAGAGAGAGAGAGAGAGAGAGAGAGAGAGAGAGAGAGAGAGAGAGAGAGAGAGAGAGAGAGAGAGAGAGAGAGTGAGAGAGAGAGAATCGAGCACACTATCCAGAACAGAACTTCCCTCGCCACAGAGGACGGGGATAGAGAGCGTGGAAGAGGAAGGGATAGATGGAGGGAGAACAGTAACCAGGGTGGGTGGGGGGCCGTGGGAGAGAAGGGGAGGGAGGGGGTAGCGACCAAGGAGAGAAAGAGGAGAGGAGGGGGAGGGGGTCGCAGATAGGCCTACCCTCTCGAACACCCGTAAAACACACGCGCGACGCCACAAACGACCGCAAAGACACACGAAAACGCCGAGCAAGGACGCATCCCCGGGGCGACAACGACAAGCAACGCCATCAATAAGGGGGGGGAGGTGCTGCGGGGGGACGGGGGGTATGGGAAGGAGAAGCAGGGAAGGGGGAGTGGGAAGGGGGAGTGGGAGGGGGGAGTGGGAAGGGGAGGGGGAGGGAAAGAGGGAGGGAGGATGCGAAGAGAAAGGAGGGCTGATATATGAGAAAAAGAGAGAAAAACACAAAAGAATGAGAAATAATGAGAGAGAGAGTAGAAACGCGAAAGAAAAGAGGAAGGGTATTTAAGAAGACACGAAAAACAACGAAAACAGAGGAGGAAGAAGAAGAAGAAGAAAAGAACCAGAGAATCAACAGAGAAAAGACAGACCAACAGGCGGTCCTTTGCTTCCCCATGCCCCCGCACACTACCCCCCCCCCCCACCGCTCACAACACGGGGCCACCAGCGAATCCTGGAAGCGCTTCATGCCCAATCCTTTAGCATTAATGGCGCCGTGAGGAAGGCCATGCTTTTCCCTTTCCTCCCTCCCCTCTTTCTTTTCCTCAATCTCCTCTCTTCTCTCTCTCTCTCTCTCTGCTTCATCTAATTTTCTTTCTTCTCTTTCTCTTTCTCTCTTCCTCCCTTTCACTTGACCTTCCCTTGCTCTTCTTCCTTCTTCTTCTCATCCTTCTCCTCCTCTTTCTCCTTCTCCTCCTCCTTCTTCTCCTCCTCCCTCTCACTCTCATACTTCCCTCACCCATCCCTCTCTTCCCTCTCACATTCCCCATTTCTCTCTCTCTCTTCCTCCCTCTCTCTTTCTCTCCCTCTCCTTCCTCTTACCCCCGTCCCATTCCTTCTCCCCCCCCCCCCCCCCGTTTCAACCTCCTCTCCATCGCGCACACATTTCCAGCGCTAAAACGGAGTATAAAGATCTCTATCACGGTTATTGCCGCAGGAATTTTCACACGCAGTCTCGAGCGCGTCTTAAATAGATTGAAATCACTGCCGTTACATCGAGATGCTAATAAACTTGGGGGAAGGGGGGGGGGGGTGAAGGGAGGGAGAGAAGGTGAAAGGAGGAGGGAGGGAGGGAGGGAGGGAGGGAGGGAGGGAGGGAGGTAGGAGAGAGGAGGAAGGAGGAAGGAATGAAGAAGGAAGCAGGAAGCAGACCCGATAAAAGGAAGAAAAAGAAAAAGAGGAAAAAACAAACAGAAGACGAAAGCGAAGCCGAAACCAAAAAAAAGAAAAAAGAAAAAAAAAAACATCCCAGGGCGTGGAAGGCAAGGCAAGCGGGGCGGTCGGATGAAAGTGCCTCCCGCCGCTCACTCAATCCGAGGCAAAATATCCGGCTTGGCTTCCACGACGGATAACAAAGCCCGGGCTGGGAGTCGATTGTGCCCGAGCGCCGATAGGCCCGAATAAGGCACCGCCGCGTCACCGGGAGATCGACTTGGCCGAGGGAGACGAATGCTCGCTTCAGGCCGCTCGAGTGTCCTCCTGACGGCGCCCGTAAGTAAGCACACACGGGGAGAAGCGCACGCAAGTAGATAAACACAAAGAAAGAAAGAAAGAAAAAAAAACGTATATAAAATAGACACAAAAACTAACGCATGTAAAGGGGTGACTGAAAGGCAGATAGATATATAGATAGACAGAGGCAGACAAAAACACACACGAAAGAGAAATATATACATATACATATATATATATATATATATATATATAGAGAGAGAGAGAGAGAGAGAGAGAGAGAGAGAGAGAGAGAGAGAGAGAGAGAGAGAGAGAGAGAGAGAGAGAGAGAGAGCATAGTATTCCACGCAGCTACTGTGTTTATGGAGCCGTTTCCCACACCCGGCACTCGATCGTCTGCCACGATAACAAAAGGAAAAATATATATGTATAATAAGACGAGATTCGAAAGACCCGTCTCGGTGCCATCCAGAGCAACCACGCACGCACACGCAAGCACGCACATAGACACGACTATACGCACATAACAGAAAGATCATTAACTCAAACCCCATTAAACTAACCCTTCATTTTTTCTTAAGAATCCCAACAGAACAAAAGGACAGCAAGACCAACGACAAAAAAGGAAACGCATCTTAAAACAACTGCTTCAAGAAAGTACAAGAGGAGGCTATCTATCTCACAGCCGAGCGAGGAACAGCCATCATCAACGAGACCGAGAGGCCGCCGCGACAGCTTTATAACGCCGATCACGGGTCTTGAATCCCCCCCCCCCTCTCCATCTCCCCCTCCCTCGTCCCCCTCCCCCATTTCCCCTCCCTTACTCTCCCTCAACTAAAAGAGAGAGAGAGAGAGAGAGAGAGAGAGAGAGAGAGAGAGAGAGAGAGAGAGAGAGAGAGAGAGAGAGAGAGAGAGAGAGAGAAAGAGAGAGAGAGAGAGAACGTTTACTACTACTACCAAAATTCACAGAAGAGGAGGAAGAAGAGGAGGAAGAGGAGGAAGAAGAGGAGGAAGAAGAGGAGGAAGAGGAGGAAGAAGAAAAGGAAGTTGTCCCCCAAGCCAGAGTCCCACAGATGCTGGACGAAGATAAACCCTGGACATCCCTAGTGGCTTCTACCCCCCCCCCCTTCCTCCTCCCCGCCTCGATCCTGATGCAAGAGGACGTCCGCGCTTGCTTCAGATGCCCCCCTCTCCTCCCTCTCCTCCCTCTCCCCCCACCCCCGTCGCCAGAAAGGATCCCGAGGAATATTTCAGGATTTGCACTTTGGGGAAAAAGGGGCCTTTCGTCAGCGAACATATGGGAGCCCTGAATCGAAGGCCAAAGTCAAGGAAGAAAGGAAGAAAGGAAGCAAGAGAGGAGGAGGAGGAGGAGGAGGAGGAGGAGGAGGAGGAGGAGGATAAGGAGGAGGAGGAGGAGGAGGATAAGGAGGAGGAGGAGGAGGATAAGGAGGAGGAGGAGGAGGATAAGGAGGAGGAGGAGGAGGATAAGGAGGAGGAGGAGGAGGAGGAAGAGGAGGGGGAAGAGGAGGAGGAGGAGGAAGGGGAGGAGGAGGAGGAGGAGGAGGAGGAGGAGGAGGAGGAGGAAGGGGAGGAGGAGGAGGAGGAGGAGGAGGAGGAGGAGGAGGAGGAGGGGGGGGGGAGGAGGAGGAGGAGGAGGAGGAGGAGGAGGAGGAGGAGGAGGAGGAGGAGGAGGAAGAGAAAAGACAAAAAGTGAAGGAAAGAAAGGAAAGAAAGCAAGAAAAATAAAAACCACAAATATATGACACGCAGTACGGACCCCGCCACCCCCCCCCCCCAAAAAAAAAAAAGCAACATCATTTCATTAATGTTTATTTCGTAGGCCAACCCCGGGCCGCCGACGCCCAAGCAGCGTCGCCGTCCATCAGAGTCGTCGGAGCCTCGCCAAAAACGGGCCGACGGGGCGTTAATAAGCGCTAACGACTTAACAACCGCCAAGCATGTTCTCGGCCGTAGATCAGGGGCGCCACCCACGCTGTGTCCACAAGGCGAGGAGGGGCGTGATCACTGCATTGCGGGTGGATATGGGCGTCGGGTTTGGGAGGAGTGGGGCTGAGGCGTGAGTTATTTATGTTTGCTTGTGGCTCTACGATCTATCTATACGTCTCGATAGACAGTATATTCTCCCACTCCACCACAAAACAAACAAACAAGTCGGCAAATAAACACAAGCACACACACGCACGCACACAGACAAATACGCACACACACATACGGACACACACAAAAAAACTTCACTTAACAAGGAAAAAAAATAAAAAAGCATAAAAGAACACTTCCCCGAGCTCCTCGACCACCGAGAGGGCGGCGCGAAGGCCAAACGACGACAACAAAGCCGGAATTAACGACCTCCTCCACTCCCAAGCAAATGAAGAACCGTCGCGAGGGGAAACAAGGGGACCGCGAGGACGTATTCGAAGGGAAAAGCGACTGCGAGGACGTACCTTGGTGGTGGTGAGGACGAAGAGGTGCGTCCCGGAGGCGTCCAGAACCAGGTCGGGCAGGACGCGGCTCCCGGCGTCGATCACGTCCTCGCCGTACTCGGCGGCGTCCTCGGGGCCCGCCAGCAGCGCCTGCAACAGAACAAGATATCATTAGTAACATGCGGGGGAAGAAAAAAGTAACGTAAAACCTGAAAATGCTCACACATGTTTTTTAGAAAAATATTACTCTCAATGTTGAGGATTTAAGGCCACTTCAAACTCCAACTTAAAAATATAAAACCACTTTCGCAACCCATCACCTCGAAAACAAATTTTAGAAATATATAAAAGGAGAAAAAAAATATATATATATATATCCACATCAACATGAGAGGCGAGGCCAGGCGACCCGAGTGCGGGCGGGCGGGCGGGCAAGTCGTCCGATGGCGGGGCGGCCTCAACAATTATTCCCCTGGTAATTAAGTCCCGCTGCAGCTGCTGCCCTTCCTCGCTCCCATTTATCTTGTTACAGGCGGGATGGCTGACGAAGATGTATGCAAGCGCGAGGGGCTTCAGTCTGCACAGCGAGCCGGAGGGGAGAGCCGCTCGCGCCGGCCGCTCCCCCTCCGAGCAGAACGGGATCCGCGCTCTTCGTGGCGGCAAGTCAAGGCGGTCTTTAGAAGCTCCTCTTTCTTCCCTCGTATTTAATCCGCTGCTCTCTCCTTCGCCCGGACCCGATCGCCAAAATCGCGCCCACACGCCCAAACCTTCTGCCCAACCCGGCTGTCCCCTCGTAGCTCCTCCCTCCCCCTCCCCACCCCCTGGCTGACGGCCGGGTCCTTCTGTCCGCCTGATTGGCCGCCCCAGCCTGTCAGCGGCCAGCGCCAACGTCACTTAAGGCCTTCCCTCGCCCCTCACTCTGCTGACAAGCCGCTGCCGCCGCCGTCATAATCGTCGCTTCAAAACCACAACTCACACCTGTGTCAAGGCGCGAATGCAGTCCCTCGCTCCCAGTGATCAAGCCATTTTCTCGGCCGCTCCCCCCTCCTCGCCGTTGCAAGGGATGGCAGCGCTGCTCTGCAACAGTTTCCCCGTCCCCTTTCCCGGACACTTCATTTCTGAACGGCATGAAGTCTTGTTCATGAAGGGGAGAAGAGGAGAGGAAAGGAGAGGAGAGGAAAGGGAAGGGAGGGGAAGGAGAGGGAAGGGAAGGGAAGAGAAGAGAAGAGAAGAGAAGGGGAGGGGAGGAAGAGAAAAGGAGAAATGAGGAGAGAAAAGAGAAAAGGAGAGAAGATGAAGGGGAGGGGAGAAGAGGAAGAGAAAAGATGGAAGAGGAGCGAAAGGAGGGGGAAAGGGGAGATGAGAGAGGAGGGAAGGAATGAAATGACATATGCCATTTCATTCCTTTCGCATTTAATCATAATTATATTCTCTAGTTTATCAGTATTCCAGATTTCTTTTTTTCCACAACCTTTTTTTCCGAAGTCACCCCAGAACACGAAATTCCCGGAATCTTTGTTTAAAAATCAATAAATAAACAAATATAAACAACCTTAACAAAAACTCCAAGTGCCATTCTCAGGCCAAATAAAAATTGCAAATCGAGTTAGTAATTAGTCACAATAATTTCGGTCTCCCGTTGAAATTCTCGAAACTGATAAATAAACAAATAAAATCAATTTATCCACGCTGCCAGAAATTCGTTGCAAGCAGCTCAATCAATAAACAATAAATGATCTATACTTTTCAAAATACTCTTAAGTACTCGATCATCAACGAAACCAAATAAGTTCGGATCTCCATGAATAAATAAGCTTTAATTGTGATAAATAATTCATGATACAGAGATCGTGAACTAAACAAATATACAAAACAGACAGGTATATAAAGACCAATAAACTGAATGAATAAATACATAAATAGACAGATGAATAAACAAACAGCTACACAAACCAAGAGGTAAATAAACAACTGAACAATAAAACTGCAACTGGAAGGAGCGAGTGCCACGCGAAGGAGAGAGTGCCACGAGGAGGGCGCGGCGACACGGGGGCCATCGCTGCCGGTCGCTGGCGTCGGCGGCCGGACAGGTGTTAATAATGCAGGCAGGTGGACCGGCGCCGTGATTACCGTCGCACACGCTCGCATACGTAGAGGAAGGGGGTGAAGGGGTGAAGGGGTGAAGGGGGGAAGGGGGGGAAGGGGGTGAAGGGGGAAGGAATTTCAAATACCCCCTTCCGTTCTCTCCTCCTTAACTCCCCCTTCCCTCCCCTCTTAACGTTCCCCCAATTTTCGACGTTTCATTTTATACAGGCCCCGCCTCCTCACCCTCCCTCCCTCCCTCCCTACCTTCGCGCTGGCCTCCCCCACCCCCTACCCTTCTCCCCGATTCGTGACGTAGCGGTCATGATGACTGTCCCTCCCGTGCCCCTTCCCTTCCCCTGCCGTCCCTCCTCCCCTTTCCCCTCCCTTTCCCCTTAAGCCGCGTTCTGTGTCTCTCCCCTCCCCTTCGTCCTCAATTAGGAGGCAAGGGAGAGAGGAAGGCGGGGGGAGTGGCCAACGGTGGGCAGGGCCATGCGTGTCACCCTCACTCCCCTTCCCCCCCTGGCTCCCCTCGGTCCCCCTCCCCGGATCCCCTTCGCCCCAATCCTAAGGGCGGGGCTTCGACGACCACCCATGAGGGCGAGGGGGCGGGGCCTCGTCTTCAAACACACACCTAAAGACGAATTGATCAGTCGCGCTTTTTATGTTGCTTGCACACGAATCTGCCGAGTGGGGGAGCGCTGCCAGGCCGACAGGGCGCTGCAGAAGAGGGCAAGGGGGGTGTGGGAGGGGGATATCGGCAGGTGGGGGTAGGGGAAGGAGGGGAGGGGGGAGACAGTGGCGTGAAGGCAGGAAGACTGATCACTTCCACCAGTAACACACAGCAAGCACAGGGTCGTCTTCTACTCTTGGCCCTTCTCTCCCTCCTTCATTCTCCTACTATTCATTCCCCCTCTCCCTCTCCCCCTCCACATTCCCCCTTCTCCTCGTCTTTCTCCTTCTTACTGTAAGGCCATAAAATCAAAACATTTTCAGAAGCAAGTACGACCGCCCGAGGACGCCGACGACGACTCGACGACCCAGCACCGCCCACGCCCCCCAATGCCGCGGGAGGGGAGGTAATCTGTCCCAAAAATCCCACATCCTGACATGCATGTGGGCGTGTGGGCGGGCGGGCGAGGACCAAGCTGGGGTTGGCATGGCGACCGATTCGACATGATATCATTGACGCCGTTGCTCGCGATAACGACGCTAATGACGGTGATCATAACAGCGGATAGATCGACAAGGCTGGCGACCACCTCCCCCCTCCCCCACCTCCCCCTCGCCTTCTTCCCCTCCACCTCCACCTCCACTTCCTTCTCCCCCTCCCCCAAGGTCAACCCAAACCTCGAGCAAACCAGACATCACTCACACCATCCCCCACATAACCCTCCCCCTCCCCTATACCCCCCTACCCCTCCCCAACACCACGCTGTCAAGACAACTATCCCGATCCGTCAAATCTTCCTCCCGAACCCCGCCATCAGGGACACCAAATAACACGCTGGTTGTTCAAAGAGGAAATAGACAAGAGATCTGAAGAAGGAGAAAAAAACTAAAAAATCAAATGCGATAAAAAATAAAATGTAAGAACAATTGGTCAGAAGAAATACCTCGACGCGAACGAAGGCGAAAATAAGGGGGTTCTTCGAATGAGATGAACACGGATAAAGAGAGAGAGAGAGAGAGAGAGAGAGAGAGAGAGAGAGAGAGAGAGAGAGAGAGAGAGAGAGAGAGAGAGAGAGAGAATATGAGAGAGAAAATAAGAGAGAGACAAAATGAGAGAGAGAGAAAACAAGAGAGAGAGAGGGAGATAATAAGAGAGACAGAGAGAAAGAAAAGACAGAAAAGACAGAAACAAAGACTAAGCCGTGAGAGAGAGAGAGAGAGAGAGAGAGAGAGAGAGAGAGAGAGAGAGAGAGAGAGAGAGAGAGAGAGAGAGAGAGAGAGAGAGAGAGAGACTAAGCCGTGAGAGAGAGAGAGAGAGAGAGAGAGAGAGAGAGAGAGAGAGAGAGAGAGAGAGAGAGAGAGAGAGAGAGAGAGAGACAGAGACAAACAAACAGACAGACAGACCGATAGACGCGCGCGACAGACTCTTGGGAGAACCTCCGAAAATCACAAATGCAATCCCAAATCCTGCAAATCCCCGCGATTGACTCACAGATTCGGCGGGGCTGATAGTGCTCCCTCTCTCGCTCCATCACGCCCACCACTTACCGACTTATGGGCGGGTTCACAGGCGCTCGCTCGCTCTCTCTCTCTCTCTCTCTCTCTCTCTCTCTCTCTCTCTCTCTCTCTCTCTCTCTCTCTCTCTCTCTCTCTCTCTCTCTCCTTCTCCCTTTCTCAAGACGACTACCAACTTGCCCCGAAAAGATGGTCGTGCCTCGTTGACTGGTCGTCCACAGGCTTCGCAAACGATTTACGCCCGCGGGGGATGGTGGAGAGGGGGAGGGAGAGAGGGGGAGGGAGAGAGGGGGAGGGAGAGAGGGGGAGGGAGAGAGGGGGAGGGAGAGAGGGGGAGGGAGAGAGGGGGAGGGAGAGAGGGAAGAGAGGGAGGAGAGGGGGGAGAGGGGGAAGAGAGGGGAGGAGGGGGAGGAGGAGAAAGGAGAGAAGGGGGAGGTGGGGGGGGAGAGGAAGAGAAGAAGAATAGGTAGAGGAAGAAGAAGAGAAGAAAAAGAGAAGGATAAGGAGGAGGAGGAGAGAGGGAGGGAGGGCGGCGGAGCATCACGCGAGGAGCCGCAGATGGCCGGAGATGATAATGAAGAGAGTTCGAGAGGCGGCGATGATGATGGTGATGGTGATGACGCCTTGACACTATCGCAGCCGCTATCAGTATCAATATCATCGTTGCTATTGACGTACTCCTTCATTTTACAAAAAAACAAAAAACACGAACAAAAATATATAAGATTTATAGACGGTGCAGCTATGAACGTCATTGGCAATCGTTCAGCTACGATTAACGTTTTTACTTTTATTTTTCAACCATTTCATTTACTTATTTACTTTTTTAAAAATTGTTTTTTACTTCAAATCTAGAACCTTCAACGAATCGCACCCCTCTC